TCAGGGCTAGCTTGCTTCAAGTGACTTCTAGACAAGTAAACGCGTTGCCCTCTCAGGTGCGCCAGGGTTAAAGAGGGCTCGTGTTTAGGTAGCGGGGTGCGCTGGCGCCCTACCCGGCCTGTGGGCTAGCAAACGTGCGCTGCAAACCCCGACCTGCTTTCGGTGCTGTCGGCAGAGGAGCGCACGCTCCGCGCTGCATTGCTTGCCCTTCTGGTACCAGAGCGTATACAAGTGAGTGCTGTGAAGTCCTTTTCACAGGTTTTTTTTAGTTGTTTTGACTCATACACGTCCCCACCCAAAGGCAGGGTGGCCGTTCCTGGGAGTTCCCATGTCTCGTGTTAGTAGTAAGTCGCAATGTGGTAGCTTTTGAGAGCCCTGGCTCTTAGCTTCCTGAAATAAATCCCACAAAAAGTCTGGTCATGTGTTGCCTGCTCTGCCACAGAGTGAGCGTGTGACCTTGGGAAAATCAGTTTACGTCTTTTCCAGTTTCACAGCCAATACACCAGATACACATGTTCCTCTTTCAAATGAAATTACTCTTAGTCACATACAAACTTAACTCATTCTGTCCAACGTATTCCTCTGCCTTTTGGTTCTTTTTTCTGTTCGGTGCTAACTAACAGTGGCTGAGAATGTGTCAGCACAGACTAGCCTGGAATATACTGAGCAAGTAAGGTACAGATACCTTCTCTTTGGTATCTGGTAAAGCCCAGTCTCTTTGCTACTGCAGCTGCTGGGTAGAAAAAGAGCTCTGAATTTTTTTCTCACATACAGTATCTTGTCTTTCTTTCTAGACTCTCATCTTTTATAGTAGTTTCCAGCTAGAGAAGGTCTGGAAAAAATAATTAAAATTGTAACTCCCTCTCTTTTCAGGTGGTGGAAGGGAGAAGGTCCTCTGTCTCTTCCTCTACTTTCCAGATTGCCGTAAATGAGAAGGAGCTCCATTTTCCAGCCCACACCAACCTTCGTGTTAGGGTCTTTTTCTGATGGCTAGCTTAAGCCTATGCTTGTGCTTCTGTTTACAGTTGTCCTAAGCAGGTTTTATGAGTGGCTCCTGTCAAGAATACACCATTTTTCAGACAGGCTGATCAGAACCTTGTTAAATATATTCTCCTTATCAAAACTTGGAATAGCAGTAGACTTGCCTTCTTCAGAAATTGATGGCTGAGATTCCTGGGCAGCTTTAGTTTCAGCTGATAAATAGATTTTTTGTTTTTATTATTACTTTCCAGGCTACGCGAGCAGTGAGATTCTTAGCAGCCTGGTGGAAAATAATGTGTATTCATTAATCTTTATTTTCTGAAAACAGGGCAATTCTGGCATGTATCGGACTTGCATTTAGACCCGACTTACCACATCACCCCAGATCACACCAAAGTTTGTTCTTCTTCCAAAGGAGCCAATGCTTCTGACCCAGGCCCTTTTGGAGACTTTTTGTGTGATTCTCCATATCAGCTTATTTTGTCAGCATTTGCGTTCATGAAGGATTCTAAACAACAAATTTCATTTATGATTTGGACAGGGTAAGTGTTCAAGTCGCTGTGCAGTTAAAGCTTTTAATAGCTCGGTAACCATATAGCGCAGTAACTCACATGTTCACATTTGCACTAGCACATCTGAGTTTAATATCTCATAAATACTACTTCTGCATAACCTCTTTAGTGGTCTGAATGATTAAAAATGGAAGATGGGGTGAATATACAAGGCCGCAGTAATAAATATGGATCACCTCTGTAAACACTGTGGATACCGTTGAACTGTTCATTGGGACATTTACCACACAACTGTGTTACTGTAACTTAACTGAAGTGGTATGGGAAGGGTGGGAAGTGGTGGTGGGGAAGGGAAGGCCAGAAGAATACCTGGCTGTTTGGAATTAATTATCACGGGAGCTATTGGATTTTGTAGATCTTGAGGTCATTAAGTCAAGAGTGGATGCCGTTTTAGAAGATACCCTTTAACTAAACATTAGGTATTGAGTTTGTAAGAGGTACCTAGGATCAAGCGATATTGCAGATTGGGACTTCTAATATTAAACTCAGTGAATCAGTTTTTCAAAAAAGAATATAAAAGGTTACAGTACAGATTTAATTCCTGTATGGATCCTAGATTAGGCGCTAGTGGGGGGAGGGATAACAAACAATATAACAGATTATATCTCTGTCTTCATTACAATCACTCTTAGCTGCACATGCTTCTAATGAAGTTATTGCAGTCCCTCACTGCAATATTCAGGATGTGCTGAGTCCTGTCTTGTGTAAGACATTTCCTTCTTCTGTGCCTTTGTTCCATATTGGTAAATGTACATAACAATACTCTCTTTCTTACACAAGTGTTATCTGTGAGGCTTTTAGGTGCTCTAGCAGTGGAATAGGGGAAAGAAGTGTAAAAGAGAAGCATATAGGTAGCTCTACGGTACCATGTTCTGTTATTTTCTAGGTATTGATAAAAGATGGCATTAATTTACCCTCATGTCGTAGCCAAATTCTGCATTCTACCATCACATAATTTTCTTATGTTAATGGATAATTACAGGGATTGGTATCTTTGTGGGTGTTTGGGAGAGAACTTGTCTATCTGGCAAGGTCCTTTTTGCTAGAGAGGTTGTATGTGTTATGCCACTTCATTTTGCTGGGGGGAGGGTGTTAAGAAATATAACTATGTAAAGACAAGGGAATAAATGTAACTTCCTGTACTTCATTTTCAACAGGTGTTGTTGAAGGAGGAAAAACAAACTTTCAAGGCTGTATAGATGATGAAAGATATATCATCCAAACTGCACAGTAGCTTAAAATATGGAGTTGAATTGGTTTAATTTATAGCAAGTCTTAATTTTGATGAATACGAATCATATAATAAACATTAGACTATTTGTAACAAGAAATGGCTTTGCAGAGAACCTTTCAGGCAATGCTATGATTTTGTTTAAGAGGTCTACAGTAATACTGCAGGACAGAATGTAAGCGTATGTACAGAATTTTGTGCCTTTCCTTGTTTTGCTAATAAATCTTTGCTAATAGTGCCTTCTCTGTTTTCAGAGATAGTCCTCCTCATGTTCCAGTGAAAGAACTCTCCACAAAGTTGGTCATTAACATCATCGGCAATATGAGTTCTACAATACGTAATTTCTTTCCAGATCTTCAGGTTTTCCCAGCCTTGGGCAATCACGACTACTGGCCACAGGTAAAACAAGTTTTTAGAAATTTGTTTCTGTACCGGACTGAGTGGATTTCTAAGCTCTCAGATAGCAAGTGTAAAACTGGAATAAGACTGACATTTTCATAATTATTGTTCTGGAAAGTATTCTACAGTTCTCAGATTAGCATCTAAAATCATAAATAGTTCCCATCAAGAATACAAAGTACATCTCTCCTTGTGTTAAGTTACCCAAACGAATACTGATGTTGAGTGAAATCTGCACGTTGCCCGAGATGTTGCAAATTTACTGTTAATCTTCTCCCATGGCTTAGAACCACCAGTTCTCATCATAGTTTATATACACTTATTTTTTCTTGCCTTTGTAAGTCATGCATGTGTGTACAGTAGCTTAGTCAAACAGAGATGATATTCTTAATGGTTCTGTCAGTGTATGGTAAGATTCGAGGCCTACTGGCAGGCCCATTGGGAATCTGTACACTGACATCACTTTCTTTTTTTACTTTTATTTTTTATTATTTTTCAGTTTTTACCAAAATTCTGCCAGGGGTCTGATAATGGTCCCGTACTTTTACAACTGTTATTAAAAAATGCATCTTTTTTTCTTTCCTTACTGGACACTTATTCCCAATGCTGATTTACTGGATATGCGGGCCATTGCAGGTGCGAACAGTGCTTTTTTTACTTTAAGTGTCTTGCAAATATTGTTCTTGGCATAGCTCAAAAATAAACAGGTACTGCATGTGTCCTTTAGGGTGCATTGCAAGTTGATCTGGCAGTTCACAGGACTGAGAACCGAATTCTGTTATTGAATCTGAGGGGAACAGAAGGGATGTTGAGCAGGTCAACTAAAACACTTTTTTTTGAAATGTGTAATGAAAATTCAGTGACACCCCCTTCAAATCCTCAAAAACTTTTGTTCCAGAGTAGCTTTCTGTGTTATTCATTAGGCTTACTGTGGGATATTTTGGCATAGTAGATTATGGCATTGTTATCCGTAATACATTGGAGTTAGTGATTCTCAAATCAGGATGCAGTAGAGGTGCCCAGAAAGAGGAAAGGGGAATATGAGAGGGAAAGCAAGAGCTGCGTACCTATCATATCTTGGAGCTGTAAGTGACCAAACCAAGCTGTGAACTTAGTCTCCCGTTCTTGTTCTGGTAGTATAGCTTTTGCCTGTTACGTGCATTGACAAGGGGCTAGGTTGGTTCATTGGAAGCCACTGGTAAAATATTTTGGTACGTACCACCTTAACAGAAGTTTAACTCAGGGCATTGTTTTTGTTTTTGTTTTAAAAGTCTTAACAGACAGTAGCTGTCCTTTGATATACAGGAAAAAAACTGTATACAATAATCTTGTAGACAGTAAGGTAAATCCACATGGCGTTACCCTATTGACATTTTGATATAGTATCTTTTCCCATGGACGTGAGTTTCGTTCATGAAATTAAGTTCAGAAATAAAATGATGGTCAACTGAGACCGATGGACAGCAAATAGTGTTTTGAAGCTAATTGGAATAAACATTCTAATTCTCTCCACAGAAGAATACACATAGGTGTATCTTTGATACTTTGTTTGAAATGGCAGACTTCACTAATGCACAGAAATGACATAGTTTTTGGTTATTGATTAAGAAAGATCATGGGATCAGAAATTACCTCCTGTGAGGTCATTTCAGGTTGCTGGATTTTTTTTTCTCTTGATGACTTTTCTCTTTCTCTTGTGGACGTATTTGGCAATGCATACCCTACACCAGAATTGATGCAGAGGGAACCACGCACCACTGTAGGCTGTCCCAAAGTAACTGTGAAGGCTGTGCGCTTACTACGCATCGAAGAATTTTATTGCTCTCTCTTTTGTTATGACCTATCCATCACAACGATGTAATGATCTTGGGTGATTTTCCTTGCAGAGGCTGTTTAAAATGCCATTCAGGCTAATAAAGCATTGGGATACCTTTCAGATTGTATGTTGTGACCTTGATCTTTCTGAGTGGACCTGTTTCACATCCTTGCCCCTGCTTAAAACAAATTCCCAAACTGCTGTCTAATCCACACATTCACAGAATACTAACTTGCCTTTTAGAGCCTGGGTCCAACCCGCCTTCGGTCCGTAACGTGGCCTCTTATCTAAGATTAGTAGTTGCTATATCTGTTAGTGAATGTTAACTCTGGCTGATCTGGTTTGCTTTCTGAAAGCTTTCTTAGTAACTAGTATCTGTACATCGCAAGCAACGAATGTCTGGACTGACTTCTGATTGCAGTACTCCTAGACAGAGATTTAGTAGTTAAACCTCTAATAAATTAGGCTGAGTTTCAAAGACCTTAGGAAGGTTAAGTTTTACGTTTAAGAAAACATACACTGTAATACTGTTCCTGCTTTTTGATGCTCCCCCCCCACCCCCACCCCCAGCACTAAGAATCCACACAGATATTTTAGGAAAGGCGAGGAGAGGCTGGAATCTTCCTGTCAGGGTTAGATGAGAGCGTGGCTCTAATCACGTTCTGGTACTTGGGCATTGCTTGGCTCAGACTGATAGTGCTAGAGTCCTAATTAGAGCTGGTGGGAGAAAACATTGACAAAACTTTATTTTATAGAGTTTTAAATGCTTTGTCATCAGAACTGGAATTCTGTGGAATTTTGGGGAGCTAATATGAATCCCAAGTAGTTTGAAAAACTTACTTGCTATGTAGGGAACCTAGGTTCACGCTTCTCCTCTAAGAAACCTTATTTTTCAGAATACAGACAGACTTTGAACATTTGGTTTATATGTTTGTTTAGTGATTTTTCTGTCTATTTGTCTCTATGTTAAGACTTAGGCAGGTTCTGTTCTTTCACAGGATCAGCTTCCTGTAACTACCAGTGAAGTTTATAATGCTGTAGCAGATTTCTGGAAACCTTGGCTAACTGATGAAGCAATCAGTACCTTCAGAAAAGGTAAAATATGGCAGCAATATATGGTAAAGCTAGGGCTTAGAGAGCTAATGCTTCTGTAGATTTATTCCCTTTATTTAGCTCAGTCTCACAGGATGAATCATCACAATAGATTACCTGAAATGATTCTCCTGGAAGAAGTTATTTATCTTTATGAATAGCAATGCTTATCTTCAGGGTATGTTTACTCTCTGATACAATAATTATTACTGCTTCTTGTAGCAAGTACAATGTTGTTGACTTTGTACAAATATGTATGAAGTATCTTATTGCCTTCAAGACGTCATAATAAAAATACTTAAAGGTATACCACTGTTAAATTTGTTGGTGAAAAAATGCAAGAAATGTTTCTATTCTGAGACTATTCAGAACAAGGTTAGGCACATACTTGTGCAAATTATGGTAGCAAATAGTTATGGTGATTATGCTGTTAATTATGTCATATTTGTGTCCAATATACTAAATTAAGAAAATATGGATATCCTTTTTTTTTTTTTTTAAAAAAAAAAAAGAAAAAGGCTGAAAAGCTCAGCCCAATTTCAGTCCGCTCACATGTTAGGGATTTGGAAGTTTAATCGATGTCTTGCATCCTGAATAAGAAAAGACCTTGGAGGAGGAGGAGGAAAAACACTAATAGCAAAATAAACGACTAAGGGGCAGATCTTAAGCTAAGGTATATTGCTGTAGCTCCATTATCTTTATTGTTATGGCTTTACTGAAGTCCCTAAACTATGAAGTTGCATCCATGGAAGAAGCAGATATTCCATGGAGGATTTTAGGAGCTTAGATTGATAGAAAAGCATGATCTTTACTTTTAATCATATCCCAGTCTGAAGTTAAATGGCCTTCAAAATACGAGACAAAACAAATAGCTCTCAAACAGTTCTTCCTGGAGGGACCTACATATTTCCAGTGTTTTAAGAAATGTGAACTTTTAACAATTGTTGTATCTCTCAGTGTGGAAGAAATGATACAGGACACTTCTTGCATGTGAGTTGGATAATTGCATGTGAAAACTGCCAAACAAACACAGAAGCAATTAGAAAATTCACAGTATTCAGCATCAACTTTTCTCACTAAAGTGTTACTGAAAACAGTTAAGGTGCTACGCATTTTGAATAAATAGGTCATACTCTAGCTTATTCAAAAGACTAAGACTGGATGGAAACTTTGTAAGTGCTGTGCTTTCATTCTGAGGTTGTGGTTTGAAGACTTTTTTCACGTGATGTTGATGTTATTTTCACAGGTGGCTTCTACACTCAGCTGTTTGAATCCAGTGTTAGCTCTCAGCCACTGAGGATAATCAGTTTGAACACAAATTTGTATTATAGCCCCAACAGTGTAACTGTGAATATCACCGACCCAGCCAACCAGTTAGCCTGGCTGGAGGGAATACTAGAAACCTCTTTGCAAAAGAAGGAAAAGGTAGGGACCATAAACAGAATGCATGAGCATTATTTTTCTTTGAAAAGAAAAAAGTAGCAGCAAGCAGGGAGAACAAAAATATAAACGTGATTCCAGAAGAATGTTAACGCTACCAAAGATACTGCAAAATCGGTTTCATTTCTATTGTTAGGTCTTCCCTGTATATGCACATTATGTACATTATGTTGCATTTAATTAAATTATTGAATAATATTTCCCAAATTTTGCAGCAAAATACCTTTTTTTTCCCACAGTATGAAATGTTCTAGAAGATAGAATGAGAATGCTTAAAGAAATAAGCATCTTACACTTTTGTTTCTTGGAAGGGACTGTGTCTTTCTACTCTTAAGCTTTTATTAGAAAATGGGCACAGTTAGATTTCACTTAATATTTTTGTATAATTGAGTGCCAAAAATAGAAGAGAGTTTGTCAACAACAACACTTAGCCACGCTGCAGCAGTTGCTATGATTTTGGTACTGTAATAATAATAAATTACCTTATCGTACTCAATTTTTGAAGTGAAGTTACAAAGGTATTGCCTCGTGTTTGATTGGTGGGGGGGGACTGGATCAGCAGCTAGACAGGAAAAGTGTCTAATTGGAAACCTATTTGTCTTCTTTTCTTTTTTACTAACAAGGAAAATGGTGTAGTAAATTTTTAAACATTGCATTACAATGGGGAGAAAGGAGAGACTTCCCTTCCCTGCAAAACCTCGCATCAGCATTTGTGGTTGGAACTTGGTTTCTTTTTCAGTCAGTAGTGGGTTTTTAACCAGTTCTTCCATGTTTCTGGTGAATGTCCGACCACATAGGCTCTATGATATTTTGAAGTAAGATTTTCTTACTCTCCCTTTGAGATGCTAAATTATAATTCTCGCACTAGTAATATATATTTTTCATTTGAAATTATTCATCAGATTTTCCTTTGGCCTAAAATTATGCATAGATATATCAGAACTTTTTTTTCCCCAAGAGGGTGCTGAATTGACTTAAAAAAAAATGCATTCCTCTCTTTCATTACGACTGTCAGCAAATTTCTGTTTGCATTTTGTGAAACAAAACTACTGCGATATATAGCTTTCAGAATGGCATTTCCAGGATAGCATTGATATGGAATTGTGTTAACTATTTCTAAGTTTTAGCTAAAAGTGCTAAGTTTCAAATTAAGGTACTAATTGTGTTTTCTGTATCTAATCCTTTAGGTGTATATAATAGGACATGTGCCAGTCGGATACTTGCCGTTTGTAAGGAATACTACGGCTATCAGGGAGTATTACAATGAGAGGCTGGTAAAGATTTTTCGCAAGTACAGTGGTGTTATTGCTGGTCAGTTTTTTGGACACACACACAGAGATAGTATAATGGTCCTCCTGGATGAAGAAGGTAATGATGCTTGTAGACTCCTACATCTTTTTCTTCTTGGTTAAAAGCAAATTAATATTGTCTTGCATGTTGTTACCAGTCAGCCTCTGTAAATAATTTGAAAAGGGCTTTGGGAAGTACTGCTCTTTATCTCTATGAGTTCAAGCCACGCACAGTCCCAGATTTTTTCCAAAGAGAACCTAGTCTGCGAGGCAGACTATCTTTTTTTTGCTGAGGTCAGAAAAGACTTCCTAAGCTTCCTATTTGTTTAATGAATGCTTATGCCTAGACAAGAATTTCTAGTCTTTCCTCTTTACTTTTTCAGTCACATGGGCAAATTGTACTAGCCAGCTGCTATTGTGTAATGTGTCAAAGGGAATGTTCTCAGGCCAACTAGACATGCTCTATGTTCTTGTGTTTCCTGCATCATTACTGTGCCGCTCTGCTGAGTTCCCTGCTGCTTCAAAGTTAATTAAGATAAGGGGAAGCGGGAGGCAGGGGCAAGAAAATCTCTGCCTGTTGCATCTCTTAGATCAGCTAGTTTCCCTTCAAGGAAAGCATCCAGGTTTGAAATTTTTTTTTATTGCTCGGAAATACCTCAATTTTAAGCACAGCTATGGCTGTATGAAGCACTTCAACATGCCTAACAGAAGATCTCTAGCAAAAATAACCAGAAATGGTCAAATATTTTTGTCTGTTCCATAGAAGTGTGAGTGGTCCACTGCCTTGGTTTACGTAAAATATCTAAATATTAATTGGCTCCTGATTTATATTTGTTTTATATGGGCCCATAAAAGCAATGTCGGAAATGCCGACTGGGGTAAGTGTTCTAAATCATTTACCTCTTTATGTGGCATTTATCATGGAACTGATCTCCAGTAAAAAGGAATTCAACCAAAATGAAAGAACTGCTTTTTAACGATTTTGTTTTAAAAAGATATTCAAGACAGTACTATACCTATATGTTTTTGTATCATGTCCCATTTCTCTGAGGACAGCCTGATCTTGATGCCTTGTCATTGCAGTTTACAGTGTGTAAGTAACTGTGCTCCCCGATTTTGTTGTGTAGCCAGTGAACATTTCATGTAGCTAACTACAGTTGTACGCTGTCTTCTATTCACATCACTTTTTTCTTGAAAATATTTCAGGGAGTTCAAGACGCATCTAATTCTGTAGCCGACATCCATGTATTGACATACAGAGCTCCATTTTACCTCTTCCAGAAAAATCTGCTGATTTTCAAGCTTTCTAAGCTTCTGCTCATTTGTGGAGACTGACCTTGTGATTTCTCTGCTGTGATGCTGGCAGAGAAAGGAATAGTTAGTTTTGATTTTTGTTCCACAGATAAACTCTAAACAAACTTACCTGCATTTTCTGTCTATTAAAACCCTTTTATGTCCTCATATTCCAGTTACTGTAAAGCTCAGCGTTGCCATAGTAGGTGCTGGGCTAGTCTAGTTGAGTGAACCTCAGAGGATCAATTAATGATATCCTTGTGTTTCTCGTAGTACCAAAAATACATACAAAAAATACATAAAGCAACATGCAAAATCAAGCATGGAAGCAGCAGCTCAAAGGTTTGAGTATTTCTTCAGCCAAAATATGCAAAATACAGAGACCTTACATATAGGCAAGACTATTTTGTATTGAGGTAGTTGTGGGAAGCCTCCAGTATGGATCAACAGAACTGATACACAGTGTATTGTTGTAATTTACCCCGATTCGATCTGTCCAGTGGAAGGATAGAAGTTCACAGTGATGTAGCTACTGTAGGGAGAAAAAACGGTTAACTTACCAAAGCCAGTCACTGCGATTCTTGCTGTGCTAGTTCTCCAAAAAAAATCTGTTTTAGAAAGAAATTAATGAAAGGAAACTGTTTCCCCATCTTCCCTTTTCCTACAGAACAACCTGTAAACTCCTTGTTTGTGGCACCTGCTGTAACCCCAGTGAAGAATGTGTGGCAACTGGAGTCCAATAACCCTGGTGTCAGATTGTATCAATATGATCTTCTTAATTATAGCTTACTGGTAAGTAAATATTTTATTGTTTAAAGGTTAAATATTTAAATACAGCCTCATTAAAAATTACAGCAAGATGTCAGTTGTTTCAGTATTATGATTGTTGCTGGTACTGTGACCCTAGTTGTTATTTTTCTGTCTGGGCAAAGAACAGGAAATCTAAAAGAGAGCTCAGTCAGTCTTTCTGTGGCTGCAGGACTACCCAGTATTTCTAATTATCTAAGGAATATTCTTAAGATGTAGACTTAAAGACATTATCTGGGCAGCATCCTAAAATTATTTGCAGGGAGCTCTGCAGCAGTGAAAAATGTTCCCGTGAATCCGGGGTTTATTTACACACCCATGTTATTTGCTAGTAATTTCCTGTGCTTGGGAGGCAGTCTATGAAACGGTCCTAAACAATGTAGAAGAGCAGATGAAGAAAGGTTCTTTTAACCATGTGATGCCTTTCATAATTATGCATCTTCCTATAAAGGGTTTACACTTTATAGGTGTCTGTAAATAAATGTAGAAGGAAAAATATAAACTGTTTCTATTCTATCGACTTGTAGTTTTTCTGGAGGTAGAGAAAGCAAATCCTGGATAGTTATTTTGGCTCTGGAGGACTCAGATATTCTCTCTGTAATTCAGGGTACAATTTTGACCTTGCTGAGTTCAATGACAGCACATCTGGTGACTTGACTGGGACTGGGGTTTCTGTCTGGAGATCTGTGTTAACATCGGATGCTCCTTTCTTGTGCAGATTTCACTCCTTCATCTTTGTCTCTCCCTTTCCCCGAGTTCTTCCTGGGCTATTTTTTCTTTGTCTGTTCTGCCTTTCCAACAATGCCCATAGAAAAGAAAATTCTGGCTTTCACCCTTTTGCCCCATGCCTATACCAGGCATGAGCATAGTGGAGTTTGGTTTACAGTTTGGACAGCAAAAAACTCTTAACAGTGCAACTACTGCTGCTTGTCACTCCTTTTTCTTCTCCCCATCCCCCCACCATTATCGCATGGCAAGTACCGGCTTTGGGTGTAAGCCCAGCTCTTGGGCTCTTGGGGTGGGACATGACCTTCTATTCAGTTGTGAATAATGAGGAGTGACAGCTTCCTAATCAATATATCACTCTAGAGGCTTAATGAAGCAGGGAAGAAAGCAATACGGCCATGCTTTTTTTTTTTTTTTTTTTTTTTTTTAAACTGTAGGATCTTTGGCAGTTTTACTTGGACCTCAGAGACGCCAACAAGAAAAATGAATCAAACTGGAAATTAGAATACATCCTGACTAAAGCTTACGGTGTTGAAGACTTGAAGCCAGAAAGCTTATATGAAATAGCCAAACAGTTATCTGTGCCACACAGCAGACTGTTTGAGCAGTATTACAGTAACTTCATTGTGAGTTATGACAAAACCATTGTCTGTGAAGGGGGATGCAAAACGTGCCAGATATGTGCAATCCAATATTTGGATTATTCCTCATACGCAGATTGTATCAACCGGGAAGCACTGTGGAGATGAAGTCTCCAGTGCAATCTGTGCTGATACCAACTTTAGCCTGTGATTTTAAAGAACCTGCTCATCCTCTCGCTCAAGGACTGACATGCTGATATGGAGCCTGTGGATCTTCACTGAATTTCAGGGGAACAATAAATCTCCCCATTTTTTTTCCTTCTTTTAAATATATTTTCCTTCCACATCTAAATAAAAGCTGATTGATGAAGTAATAGCGGCCAGATATTTTGCTGTTGTTCAAGGTTCCTCTGCCCTCTGTATCAGGCATCACAGTATATGGGAACAGCAGTTACTCAGTTCTTTGAAAATCCAGGTCTCACTTATCAGAGCATGTCAAGGTAGGCAACGTACCCCATTTCAGACATGGGATTTGTATGGGGGTGTATTTCAGCCATATGCTGTCAAGAGTTACAAACTGAAACCTGCAAAACCCACGCTTACTGACACTGGAGTACATGATGTTAGTGTGATAGCAGTATTGGGCATTTTCCTGTCCCTTACCAGGTTTCCTTTTCCCTTTTAACCCTCTAAATCCATGTCTCTATAGGGGTATATTCTAATGATAGCATGAATGTGGCTTAATGAATCACAAACCTCCGTCCTGTAAATACTTAGTGTACTTTCAGAATGTGCGTGATTGCCCAGCACTAAGCACTGCTTTCTTATGATAAAGCTGTGTATGCTGGTACTACTGCTATCAAATTTACATTCCTTTAAACAAACGTTTAAAGGAATGTAATATGCAGTAAGAGATTTTGCAACAGACCGCAAATCAGGTTTTAATTGATTGACTTCACTAAATAGATAGCATATACATTCTGTATACGATACAGGGAAGCATACACTTCTCCTGAGGTTTCTCAGATATTTTTTTTCATAAAGCAATCTACTTAATGCGAAGATTATCATGCATACCAATTTACAATTGCACAGACTACCTCTTCCTCATTTTGTGATTAGTTGTGTACAAAAGATGATACTGTTAAGAAGGCAGTTTATCTTAGTCTATATAACCAAGAGCAACCATTGCCCATTTTCTGTCACATCAAGAGCTATAGTGTGAGAACCTTTAGTCAATGTAAAGCCATATAGATCTTACTCTAGACAATATTATTCCAGAGTTACTGGAGCTATAACAGTGATTATGAGACAAATTCAGTTATTAACTTCTTATTTTCTTGAGATTAAAGCCTTTATTGTAGCTGTTGAGGAACTTTCTGGTTTTGTTTCCACTCGAGCTTGAAATGTTTAGTTGATGATTTCAAGAGAAATTTTCTAACTCTACAGTGTTCATAACTGTAGATACAGATGACTCAGATTTGTCATACATCAGTCATCAAAAGAGGAGATGGCTGATTTGCTGAGTTTGTGTTCAGAAACAAATCTTCCTACTAATGTCTAGAAATGTGAAATGTCTATTAATAAAGTGAAATAGGCAATCCTAGGTGTTTTAAATTTTGTGGGGAGAGGGTACGTGGACATGTAAACTGTTTACATCTGTGAGCTATCAACTCTGGCTAATCTCAGAGGTGTTAGAATAACCTCAGTTAATTTCAGCTATCCGAATAACTTAAGCTAACATGGGTTCTGCGTAGACTGTGAGAAGGATCCAGAATGTTTCAGTGGTGAAAGCTGATGATGCCCTGAATGTTGGATGCATTTCTAATGTTGGGTTTCTCATGATTTTGTTCATTAAAATATTTTTATGTAGCCAGTATCTTTTTCCCAAAGGCAAGCAAACATGTAAGTGGACAAAGTAAGAGCAACTGAGGTGATAGGATAGCTGAGGTTACTCCACTTTTTCCAATCAGTTTTGTTCAGTTCTTTGAACAACTGTTTCTTTTTCCATACTGGTTTGCATCTGTGATTAAGCCTGATGGCCACAAACCATCCCAGAAAATGCTATAAAAAAACCCAAGTTGTATTTTCCCACTACAGAATTTTTTTATTGCTTAACCTTAGGGAGAGCTGAAACATTGTAGCAGATTAGTAGCCACAGAACTCCTTAGGAAATTTAGTATACTGCTGATGAGTTCTTGGGTTTCTTGGTTCCTGGATGTCTTTTTTTTTCCCCAAGGTTCTGAGATTTTTTTTTTTTTTTAATCACAGTAGATATTATTTAGTGAGCATGAGTGAATAAATGCCTACAAATTTCTAAATAGCAAGTTATGATTCAGTGTTTTTTTTTTTTAATAGATAAAAGCTGAATTTATTTGGACTTTAGTTCAAGTTACAGTTGAATGGCACCAGTCAAGGAGGTTGTTTTTGTTTCAGCTAGCAGGATATATCCACTAGAGAGGTACGTTTAGCCAGTTATCCTCCAAGATATACCCTGTTAAGCATGCTGGCATTCTCTGCTTCTCCTCTTGCAGCTATAGCCATGGGAGTGCAAGCATAACTGGTTGAGAAAGATGGAGGAATGCGTCTAGCTGTCTCATTTTGAAACTCGGACGTCAAACAAGGAGAGAACTTTTCAGAATGTTATACTGTAAAAATCAACAAATAAACGACCTTGACAGTTTAGGTAGCATTAGGGTATAAGGGGGGAATAGAGGAAGGCCAAGATACTTTTGTATCTGGTCCCTACTTTATTGCTTTCTCGATCTAAGAATGTTCTAGAGATAAGTTATCTTTTCCTGACAGAATCTTTTTAGAGGAAATATAATAATTAAACACCAAAGAGGGATGACCATATTAAATTTGTGACCTAGTGACACTTCTGACTCCAGTAGATCAGATTCCTGTTTCATACAATATTTTGTGTCCCCATCTTGAATGAAGGATTTAGAAGAATATTTTTAAGGTCACATTGGACAGACAGACAAATTACACCACCTGGTGGAGTAAAAAGCTTTGCATTTAACTAGACCTAAACCTGAGGACCTAAAAATAAGAAGAGTCATTTCTCAATTACCTGTATAGCATGTACTGCCATGTAGCACAGTTTATCTTGGGTATTAGATGATGCGGGACTCCTAGGGGCTTGTCACTTCAGGGAGCCTGAACCCTGAGGTGGGTGCAGATCTCTGTCCAGATCTGTGAAGAAGTGGAGACTAAGGAAGTGATCCTTAGAAGTCTGCTTGGCTAGCCAGGAGAAGAGGGATGTGCTGTAACCAAAGATGTATCCCTAAGCAAGCTGGGGATTCCTTCCGCTTAGTTTCTGTGCTGAATTCTTTCCTGAAGTTAGCTGTCTGCAGCCTATGTCTGCTTTAGCAAGTACTGCAGCCTAATAGGAGCTCCTTCATCAACAGGAGAGTTGGTGCCGAGGAGCTAAGGTCAGCACTGCCAGTTTCATTAGAGTTTGGAAAACATTAAGTACGTTCCTGAAGCACAGCTGCTAATTGAGTTTTAGCTGAAAGGAATCCAGTTTTGGCCTCCAAGAGCACTCTGCAAGGTGACTAAAACCCTGGTAAGTGGGGATGATCAGTAAATTCTGCTCAGAAGTGTGCTCCTGATCCAAACCAAAATGTTGATGCATCCGGAGGCCAAGTTTTATTGCTTTACATCGGGACACTGAGTTGTATCTGGATGTGATCTCATCACTTCTGTTGTTTTTCACTTCCTAATCAGAGGAAATTGAGACGTTTAGGGCAGATGGGCAATTAGTGAACTTACTGCTAGTAAAATTGAAATGGTGAACTTAAGTTGTCTAAAGAGAGAAATGGGTAACTCACTGCATGCAGTCCTTTGCGACTCATTTCCTAAATGGACAAGTGATGAGCGCATAGTATCTTGCAGAGTGAACATCTCGTTTAACGCAGTTCCCTTTTTTATCTCTACAAGGTCACTTGTCACATCTATCTAAGAATGAAATCTCTTTGAATTCTCTCTCATGCCCAGTCAAGAGGAACTATGGCAGTATCAATGAAGAAAGGGACTGTAACTGTATAAGCAAGGTTACTTGCTTTCCAGCTTCACTTTCTGGTAAGATGGAGACTAATTTTTATCTGCTTAACATGACAGCTTTCTGCAAGAGAATGCTGCTTTAGATAATTCGCTAGTCATCTGTCAGCTCCAGCTTTCTTGTTCTGCTGGAGGAATATCCTGCTTATGAATTATATCCAGTTTTGTTATTTGCTGGTCTGCAAAGAACCCTGGTATGAAATGAATGTTGTTCTCGTATGAATGTGTATGTGAAAGATTACAGCTGTAGAAGTTCAAAGAAAACGTGTAATGAAAAATTAACCAAAAATGTGACCCACTGTACATATGTTTAGCTAGCTCCTGATGGGTGGAAATGGCAGAGGCACTGTACTGAATGAAAGTTGCCAGTGCATTACTAGACACCTTGCATTGATTCCTGTGCAAAATGCGGTTCTCAGGGCTGCCCCTGCAGATATCAGGAGAGTGGTCGCGAATAGCTGTAGTTGTCTGGCTGAAATCGCAAGAAGGGAGTCACTTTAGCCAAAAACACTGAAAGCAAAACACCCAGAAATGTGATAAACTCCAGCTCAAGACGTGTAATGAAGCACTGGAAAGAGCACTGATGTTATTAAATGCTTGCTTATAGGTTTGGGCAGTTAGAGATATTGAAGTCCAACTAATGTTGCCTTCAGTTGTAGACCTATATTTAAAGAGTGTTCAGAAAATTCCTTCTAGTGTTTGCATTTCTATCTAGTTGTGCTCTGAATCTAGCTGTCAAATGTGTTAAACACTGGAATATTCCTCTGTCATGTTTTCCAGCTTGCAGTGGGTAAAAATACGGACACTGTTTTCTCAAACTGGATAAATTCCTTGCTGGATTTTGAAGTAACCACTTGGACAACAGGAATAATCAGCTGGAGAGATTTCAAGTGTGGATCCCGGTTTAAAAAAAAAAAAAAAGTTTTCCCTATTCTGAAAAACCTTCAGAGATTACAGTATTTCCCACTGGAATAAAACCAATACCGTTTTGAGATTTTGGGTAGGGAGATATGCAAAGTGTGGATTTGTACCTGGGCCTGCCACCTTCCCCCTGAAACACTTGCTGTGCATCTGTCTTTGTGTAGACTATGCTTTCTCCTTATGCCAGGAACTGAAGAACTTTCTAATTAAAAGTTTCATTGGAGCTGTTACTTCAAAAAATTCTGATACTGGCACAGCATGTTCCCCTGATAACTCTTAAGCAGTTCCCAAGAACTTCTCCCACACGTAATATAGTTTGATTGCTACCAAGCTACATTCTTTATGTCATATAAGTACATGACTGACTTAAGCATAAAAACCCAAATCAAAAGAGTGGAATTTGTGCTCCTAAGTCTTCTGATCTGATGCGTGCTGATTACTGTATTTCTAGGGAGGTGGGGTACTACGCATTTTTTAGATTTTGAGGTTTACAAGATAATTTAGAAATGCCTAAGGCTGCTAAATGATGGCAGTGCCATTAGGCTTTTTTACAGGCATCAAACTTTCCCAAACCTCCACTGTTCAGTGTAGCAGGATCTTCCTTCTGTATATTACCTCTATTATTGGCATGCCCCTCCTATGGGGTGGTGGTAAAAGCCTATAGTTGTGTTGCTCAAAATGCGTGGAGAGAGACTCTTCTTCCAGATGGGTATGGCACTTCAAAGCTCTTGCATGCTGCTCTGGCTTTTTTATACCCTATAAGATAGAAAGTGTTCATTTTTAGATACTTTTGAAAAGTCATCCCTGGCTGACTTCTCATTTCTATTTTGCTGGACTTTTCTGGATGAACTTGTCTCATGTATTAGAATATTTCATACCTATGAAAACTGCCACCTGCCACAAAGTTTGTTTGTTTGTTTGTTTTTAAACTAGTTGAAACCGGAGAGTTCAGTGAAATATCCTGTTCGAAGAGTCTGATGTTGTTGCAGCTGATGGTAGCGAAGCGTGCTTTTTACCTAGCCTTAATTGAGACACTGCAAAGAACATTTAACTTAGCCTCACAGGAGGGGATATTTGATGTTGTTTTTACATCAACCTAGCTGAAACCTTCCAACATTTCTAACAGACTTTGTTGATAGCTAACCAGACCTATTTCAAGCTGTCTGTTCTTACCGAAGTCTCCTCATTTGTCTTTTTAAAAAAAATAGTTGAAAGTATTTATTCAGAGCTTGAAATTCTAGACAGGCACAGGATTTTGCTTGGAATCATTGCCAGTGTACCATGGAGGACTTGTCTCTAGTATTTTTTGTGTTTCTCCCCCTTCCAGTCCCCTGGCCAAAGCAAATTGCTGCTAAGCAGTGTCAAGAAACCATAGCAACTATCTTGTGACAGATCTAAGGAGGTTTTGTTCTTTAGAGGATCCATTAATCACTTCTATTGCCCCCAGCCCACAATTCCCTCCAATGTGATTCTGAGAATTTCATGCTGAAAACTGTTGCTAAATATTTGTATGGGTTAAGCCTTCCCCTCAAAGCTATCCCTATGGGAAGTGTTGTGGGTTATTCATAGCGTGTGTGGCAGTGTAAGGCTTCAGGAATGCGTGGATTCTTATTACTAGGAGAAAGGAGTTTTTGCTTAAATCTCAGCAGGGGGAGGAGGAGCAGGAGCAGGGGAGTTTGCTTCTAGTGCAAAGGCAGCAGAGCTGGCAGAGCAGCAGGGGAGAGCAGAGCGTGTTTAGTGTGCTCATTAGGGCACATATCTGGGCCACCAGGCTGTGTGCGCTGGCACTGGAGACCTGTTCGTTGCTCAGTAGCTTCCTGTGCCAGCAGCGCAGGTTCCCTGATCTGAGTAGCTATTTGAATGGTCATCACTTGTCCCCTTTTGATCTCAGCTGAGCTCTGTACTAATTCTGTTAAATGTCAGATATTGCTTGTTGCTTTTTTGCGTAGGATCAGTTCAAATCAAAACAAATTTTCAGTGGAGCTCATTGTTCAGGATATGTCAACAGTTAAGCTTTGACTCATCAGAGCAAACAAAGAGTTCCCACTTGTTTCTTTCATTTACTTCAATGCCATATCTTGTGACCACAACAGAAATCTAGCCCATTGGAGTCCACATTCTTGAATTTATCAGTTGCATAGATGACAAAGCAGTCACTTCAAACAGTATTGGGAATTCAGAGTCCAGACAAATCAATAATTAGAGAATCTGAATTTGGCCCTTCCTGTATCCTGATTTTCAGTATTTACCCCAGATATACAAACAGTAAGAGCCTTAGAAAAGAAAGTATTTCCATACATTAATAGTATTTGCTATTTTCATATGATTATATTAAAAAAAAAAAAAAGCAATTGCTGTGTGGTCTGACAAGTAGGGGCAAAGTCTATTTTTTCATGTAGATTTTTCTACATGAAGGACAGGTGGTTTTCAGCTCTCCTAGTGTTCTGGAGTGCTATTTGGATGGAAAATTGTCTTACCTAATGATTTATGTGAAAACATGTCAGTGCTTCTCAATGCCTCACAGAGGTGTTTTCCCACACAAATTTGCATCTCTGCTTTAGTGTTGTCTTCATGTCTTTACACTAGGCTATATTTTGCAGCCAGTTCTCTTCACGGGATGCAAATAACGTAAACGGTCTGAGTCTCATGGTATGCCATTTCCTTTGCAGATACTTTGATTCTCTTTTGAGAGCCTTTACTGCATTCAAAGCCTTTTTGCTTTGCTTTCCCTCCCAAAGGATTTCTAAGACTGTTAGAGAGAGGCCTTGTGCTTTTTTTCTGTAGCTGGGGTGAGTTCTATCAGTGCCAGCAGAGGTGAAAATCTGTTGCTTCAGCTGTAGTTAGAAGACCGTTACTATATTGCTGCTAAATGAAACCTCGAGACAGATGCTTTTGGGCACTGTCTCTGAAACCCTTCTTCTTAGATTTGTTTTCAGATGATAAATTTTTCTAAGACCTTGCATGTGTGTAGGTTGGGATGAGAGAACAATGTTAAATTACAAAGAGTCCAGCTCTGTATACTCCTGTTGCGTGTTCAGCTTGAAGAATGAACTCCACTCGTTTCCTTTGTTTAGGCATAAAAAGCACCTTTAGTTTGTACTAGCAGAGGTAAAGAGTGTTTAGCGCTTAAAAAATGTGACTTCAGGAATTTTGTTTTGTTCACATGTATGTTAGAATGTGCTCTTGAAGACAATTCCTGGAAATCAAGGTAAGGTGCAACAAGAAACATAAATTAACTGATGCTGATTGGCTAGATGGCAAATCCTCAGAATTTGATATGAATCCAGTGAAGTCAGAATGAGGTCTGAGTCTGTATAGTTTTAGCTAGGATATGGAGAGAGCAATTATATATAGACTGCATATTATGCTTTCCATTCTTTTGTTGGGTGCAAAATGCCTTTGTGTGTGTGTGTGTGTGTGTGTGTGTGTGTGTGTGTGTGTGTGTAATGTATGCCAAATACATATAAGAACTAGAAATAGTAATTTTACTTTAGACATTTTCATTGTGGAACTAGACTGGCCCTATACTTGTTAAATTCATTGCATCATTCTGTGCCTACTGTTGTGGTTTTCAGTGTCTGGCCAATTTTTATTTCAAGAATATCTTCATATTTTTGTCTGTCCAAAGTTAGTGAGACTTTGTCACTCACTGGTATGCAAAATTATAAACCACTTGAATTTAGTGGTTAGGGAATATATTTTCAGCTTTACATATACTGTATGCAATGCACAGCATTATTTGAAGAATCACATAAAATCATGAAAAATATCTTCTCTTTTCCAGTGCACGTCTCCAGGTTCTGAGAACTAGTAAGAATTTCTGTTTCCCTGTAAAGATGATAGGAATTAACTTGATCTCACTTTTTTATTCTCACTCTCTCTATTCTCCACTTATTTATCTTCCAGTTGTGAATTGCTAGCATTATGAAGAAGGCACACTCTTCATTTTGCTGGATGCTGTAAAATATCCACTAGAATCATATAAGAATTTGTACTGCTACTGCTCCTGGCGGAAAGCAGTTCTATAAACAGTGCGGTCCTTTGTTTGCCAGAAGCATAGTAACAAATGGATTATGTGTAACAGGCATCTATAGTGCCTTTATTTCATCTCCATTCATTCCCTACGTGTTTTGCACTGCTTTTAATGAGGCTGCCTGAACTATGGTAACCCCATGGTACATTTGTAAGCAAGAGATATTAGATGAATCAACCCCTTCTAGGACTGCATTATGAGGTAATCTGCTTTCATTACAGGATTTATTTTATAGGTGGTAGACCTCAGTGAGAAGACACTTTAGGCACAGGCAGCACTCTTCTGCTCTCTGAGGCCAAGTTCAGGGTCTGCGTGGATATGAAGCTGCTTTCCCACAGTCAAATCTCCATTCGTTGCATGGCTTGAAACATAACCTTTTTTGTGCATGACCTTTCCTTTGCTCCCCTTCTGATTCAGTCTCATACTGGAATGATTGATTGTCCTTTATAAAATACTTCATAGAGAACTATTTTACTTCCACATCAGCATGAAGGCTTGGGTCCCTACATATGAAACAAGTACAAAAACAAGCACCTCACATCAGAATGAATAGCTTCTTCTTCCTTCAACCTTTCTGAAGTGTGAAGATTTCCTCTCTGGAACTGGAAAAGTTTGTTCCCCTGGTAATACAACCCACTGTTGCAAAAAACAACCAAGCACACATTCATATATGTACAGATAGATGCCTTCTTTTTTTCTTCTGGAGGCCCCCATGAGAGTTTTACTTCTTTTTCTTTTTTTTAATATTGTTTGCAAATTTTACCATGAGAAAACAGGATTCACAAGTGTTAGTGCCCTATTTAAGTCTTTTGTAGGTTGTATGAGTGTAATCTGTTCTCAGGATCTTCTCTTTGTTCTGGCACTCTTCAGTTACTCTTAGAATCAAAAACGTGTAGTTTTTGCATAGGGAATGTTGTTATAATAATGGAGATACTTGTATGAACAACAATGAAGTGGTTAAAAGAAAGCCACCTGAAAGCTCGTCTTCTCCCTCTCTGGAGACATTTTCTGTATGTTGCATGAAGTATTTAGTTGTTAAAAACAGTAGTTCAAGCTACGCTTGACTTTGTAAACAGGGAAGACGGTGAACAAATTCAGGGCAGTGGAAGAGATACAAGAGATGCTATTGCTTTGGATAACCTGCAGAATAACACAAAATGTTTAAGTGCTGAAGAAGTCACTGTTGTTAAATTTTCAGATCTCATGCCTGGAAGGGTGGCTTTGCCAAGTAACGGTTGGTAGTAAAGTAAACTCAAGTTGAACTATGAATTGCTTAGTCTTAAGGAGATGCTTAAAAGCAGAGGGCTGCAAGGAACACCTTAAACTAACTGTCGTATTTGTTAGCTAGCACTAGTAAATAGCACAGCCCTGAAGTTAGAATCACCATGAAGAAAAAGGAAGAGGTCTTACAAGACAGCTTGATTTTATAGGAAAGAAAAAAAAAGTCTATTGATGAGGGCAAATTAGTTAGCCAAGAAAGCTGCTTGGAGGAAGACTTTTAATATTTTCTTTTTTTTTCCCTTTCAAATCAACCCCAAACATTTCTCTCCCTGACTCCATTTTAGATCAAATATACAGTGACAGGGTTCAGGGAAATGAAACATTCTCCAGTTATTCTGTTTTTATTTTTACTTTTTAGTAGAAAAATCATCTCCATTTTCATCTCCATTTTCCAAGCACTTTTAATACCTGTTTTTACTGGTACAGTTACAGTCGCTCTACT